TTTTCACAGAAGAAATAAATGATCAAGGAGAATTAATTATATCATTTTAGGAATTAAGAAAATGTTGAATTGAATTAATTATAAAAAAGAAAAGATATTACTTATAAAATTAGAAGATAAATCTTTTATTTTTTTTTCAGGTCAAATAATTATATTTACAATCTTGAAATCTTTTTGATAATAATCTTTCTAACATTATCATTAAATGGTATAATTAAATGATTAGATATTTATACAAATTTATTTCTAAAAGTTTTTTGTTTCGTTTGTTCGTTTTTATCAAATATGTGTCTTATGCAAAAAAATTTATTAATACTAATAAAATTTAATAATATTTGTAAAATTTATCATCACTTTTTTATTGTACTTACAACAAATCCTAATAATAACGACTATCAAATTTTGCGATATTCAAAAAATAAACATTAATCCAAAACAAATCATTGAAATTCATTTTTATATTTCTTAATTTACCGTTACTTTCATATTTTATCATGTTTAAAGAAAAATTTCTTTTATTTTATTCATTATTTTTAATTAATAAATATAAATATTTTTAAACCACATGTTTTTTTTATTTGAATTTTTTTCGGATTAAATAAATTCGATCGAACAAATTGGATCAGTTTGCCCATGAATACTTAGTTGTAAGTAAAGAGGTGATGATCGTCGATCGAACTGTTTTTCTTTCTCGGCTAAGCGCAAGGAAAAGACCGCTCCTTTATTTGCAATTATCGGGTTTGTTGTTTGCATTGACGCGTCTAGGATTTCTATTCGGTAAATGGGAGTACAAACGTGTAAATGCATTTAAATTTACCAACCGATAATTAGAAGTTGCGAGTGAAATATTAAACGAATCAAAATGAAAATAAATAAATAGCTCGAATTTTGAATATTTACGCAAAATGAAATTAAAATTTAACGAAGAAATGTTTGAGAAATTTTTTCTCACGATAGAATAATATTTGTAATAAACGTATAATACGTGAAATAAAATAATCGAATTGAAATCAATGGAATCCTCTTCGCATTTTAAAAAAAGACGAATCAAGATGCTTTAAATGTCTGGAAGAAAAATTACAAATATCAGTTTTTCTAGCGTAGAAAAATTGCAATATTAATATTTGTTTATTTGTTCAAATATGTCTATTTTTAGTTTGAAATGTTTTGTACAATATATTTATTTTTCGAGATAACGAAGAATCATATTTTTGAATAACTTATGAAAATTAGTTGGAAAATAGATATAACAGAGATTAGATAGATAAAAATATTACATAATATTCTTTATGTAATTTTTGATATTTAGAATTTTATATAGAAAAATGTACGCTTTTTATTCTGATTTTACTTTGCAAAAGTTTCTCTTTTCGATGAATATTATTTTATATTTATTATTTTATTATTTCTGTTCGATACACATTTTGCTTCGTATTTACACGGAAGCTTGAACAAAGTAACGTATTTCCGTTCGCTTCAAATATTCAACGTGTATTATGAAAGGTTTCAGACTCTTCTTCAAATATCACAAGCAAAGTACGAAGAAATTCAATGCACGACAAATTCATGACGCGTCCTTATTACTGGATCACGAGCTAAGAAATAAGCGGAGAAATCCACAAGGTTTCCTCATTGATTTTCTTTCTTCGATAATCACGTTGGATATATTGAAAGCAAATTTGTTAGGCGAATTTTTATTTTTATTTTATTTTTCCAAAATAATTCGATGCAACACGCTTCGTTGGATGTCGTTTCGAGATATTTTGTTTCCATGTTTAGGAATTATTTTAGGTGATCGATTATTATGCAATCGATTTCATTACGAGACGTTTTTTTAAAGAAAATCTTTCATTCTTCGCATTCTTCTTTTTAATAAAGACGAACGTTTTCATTTTGCAAAGATTTCACATATGCATATTTCGTGTATATCATAATTCCAAAAATGACACTTTAAATATATTTTCTTACAACAAAGATACGTATGACAATTTTTATAATAGCAACTATCTTTGATATCTCTTAAATCTCACTTTGCTACGTACATAGCCAATATATAGTCGGAGGATTATACAAATAATTGATTCACATTACGAACGATATTTGTGAAAAATTACTCGTAACGATATGAGGAAAATTCTTATATTCCAATCGAATTATTGTTGAAAATTGGATTGGAATATCAGAAAAATGCGAATTTCAGAGCGAATCGTAGGCATGAGAGTCGAAACGAGAATGTCGCGCAACGCTTGTGGCGGGGATGAAGGGTGGCGTCCGCGCAAGGGATGCTAAGGTGTAGACAACCCTGGTGCTGCCGCCAGGGTGGCGGAAAGCGGGAAACCAGTATGTTCACAGTTCACTACGGCCTGGCAAGCCGTCCAAATGGACACGGGCTCTCGTCGCGTTTCGCCGCTCCATCTCGCCATGTAAACAAAATCCTCTCTTTGTATCGCGATATTTCGCGTAAACGAGTACCCTATCGCGTTCTCTGCACGACTATCCTCGAACTTGTCGAGTCGATCGGATAACTATGATGAGGATAATTACGACGAGGAAACATCAGAGGCACGTGTCTCTTGCAAAAATAACTCTGACGACTTTATTTATCGAATTGGAATTAAAAGATTGTTAAAAAAAAAATTATCGATTATCGATTAATTTTGTTAAGCGATAGGGAATCGTTCGATCGATTGAAAGATCAATTTTTATTAACGATTGTGGGGTTATTTGATTTATTTTTGAAGATGGAACAGGATCATGGAACGAGGGGAGATGGAAACATGTGGCCGAGTTTAGGTGTTGTTTTAGTGGAACTTGGAGAACTGTCGCCAATAAGATTGGAGTTTAACTCCGGTTCCTGTGTAATTCGCTAAATCCTGGCACACACAAGGGTGCTTTAAGTTCTGTGGCGTGACAGACTTTGGATACTACTTAATTGCGAGTGTTGCTGGTTGTTAGTCAACGTTGCGTTAGCAAGGTGTATTTAATTATTTTATTCGGCATTTTCGAATGTTTTTCACCAATCCAATGATCTCATTCGATTTTAACGGGAAAATATTTCTCAAAATAAGCCAACAATTAATTACAATTATATTGAAGAGAAATGAGAATAACGATGTTTTAAAGAAATAATTGTAGTGGATATTTTAATTAAAATCAATGTACATTGTATTTTATCTTAATTCTTCGGTGTGATTAATTCGGTGTGTTTCATTGGATTCATATATATATAATTTCAATCGGTGTATTAATATATAATTTCTTTAATAACAAAAAAAAAAAAAAAGAAAAAGAAAAAGGGAACAAATATTTAAAGAGAGAAAGATTAAAAAAAATGTGAATCCCTGAAGAAAATAAATTTTATAGTAACTACCAACTGAAAAGATTAAATTTATTTCATTGAAAGTAATCGATCCAAAGATATCGAGTAATTGATAATTGACAGAAAAAGAAAAAAAGAAATAAATATTTAAAAAGAGGAAGATAAATATTAAAGAAAAAGAAACAATTGATAATTTACTTTATTAAAAGTAAAATTAAATTAAATATTATAATAAAATTATAATAACAATCTAAAATTAAATCATCAGAGTCAATTCCATACAAGATATTGTATGGAAAAAAATTCTTTTAAAATTAAAAGTGAATCGAAGATAATTTTGAATAGTGTCAGTGATATATTTTAGAATAATGTGGACAGTAGAAGAATCGATAAGCAGAATGTTGATCGTAAATGAAGAAACGAAATAAGAATTTCACGTCGATCATGTCCGATACATGTCGGGAATCACAGCACCTGTGGAACCTTGAGGTAAATTGTTCACCTTTGTACACACCAAGGATTATTCGATTCTTATTGAATATTCCATTCCCTTAGATATTTTTAGATATTTTTACTCTCAGGAGACGAGAAATATATATCCTTTTATGTATAATACAATATAATCACGTTCATAAATATTGGAATAGTAATTGTTGATTTTTTTCTGTAATATATCTCGATCAATTATGATTTTTTTATTCGTGCAAATACAAAATATATTATCCTATAACAATTATTCAATAATCTATAAATTTATAAAAATTATTTATGTGAATTTTTATAATTATCTAATAATCTATAATATGATAATAATATGATAATCTAATAATGTTTTAAATTTATTGTATTTTCTATAACATTCTGATATTTACGAATATATATCATATGATATGAGTCAATATATTCATAGATCGATCAAATAAGTTTTTAGGTCATCGAAATTATATCAGAATCAAATTTTTGAAAATTTAATTGATCTTTAAATATCGTTGGTATCGTAGATTTACGATGGATTATTTGCGAAGCACTATGATGCGACGTGTCTTCAACAAAGTTTCAAGAATTATTTATTATTGAATTAGTTGGAAAACTTGTTATTATTAAATTAATAATTAAGGGATTTATGATTTACTTTTAAAGAATAATTCAATATTCTTTCTTTATCTTTCATATTTTAATATACTACTTAATAATAATTCATTAATAATTCTTAATAAAAATATCACTCGATAAAAATATAAAATAAAAGTTTAGAATGATCGAAAATTTAATTAAAATTAGAGAACATTCTGTGCATTGATATAGATTAATATAGAATTTATGAAACAGAGTTCAAATTTAAAAATTTATCATTCTACAATTTCTTTCTTTCTAACTCTGTCACATTTTTCATTTCAACGCTATCGATCATTCATCACTATTAATGCAAACCATTTAGATTTATTTCTCAAGTTCGTCCAAGTATTTCCGGTAAGAGTTCCTTTCATAAAAGTGTCTACGTATCGTAAGGGGGGGGAGGTGGTAAATAAAATCGGCATAAAGTGAAAAATTGCAAATAACGAAAGATATTCGGAACGTAGGTGGATCTTAGGAGATAGAAAGATAGAGCTTCTTACGATTCGAACTTCTTACTTGACAATGCGAAAGAATGAAATTGAGGAAATAGATAAGGGATAAATTTGTTACGAGCTAGATATCGACGTCTTGGTTTTCTCGATTTACGAGTGCTATTTCGTGAAAGAATGAATCGTCTTCTTGTAGCTACGTTATATTCGATACTATACTTTCCTGCAGTTAAAAGTAATGGAAGAGTCCCATATTGGATAGTAATTTGATAAAATGGTAGAGATTTATGGTGAAATTCTCTTCAAGAATGATGATTTGAATGAATGGATAATGTTTCGTTATTGTCATCTTATTGTCACGATGAAATTTGTTTAAGAGTTTAATAATTTATTTAGTATTTGCAAAAATTTTTGCCTTCAAATATGTTATTTGAATATTAATTTCGATATATATTTATCATTTTTAAATTATATGATATGAAATATAATCATTGTAGAATATTATTTTATTAAAATTGAATAAACATTTTAGAAATTTAGAATTTAGAAGGTCTAAATTCCATTTTAAAAAATTTTAAAAAACTAATATTAAAATTATTTCATAAAATAATATACGAGATATTTATATTATTATTTATTTATATTTTATGCGAAACTATCGCGTAGATATATATCGGTTTATTTCCGAACAATATTATATTTTTCGTCAATACTTTTTCCATCTTCCAAAAAAACGAATACTTCCACGCGAAAAAATATTGACAAAGCCCACATCTACCGTGAAAAATAAAATAAAACATCAGGCCGGTTCATAAGTGCATATGTATTTTCGATGCTTGTTAAAAAACTCGGACGATTCGTTAAAAATAATTTTTACGAAGCTGAAATTATGATGTTAAAAAATTTCTTGATTTGAAAAAAAATAATAATAATAATGATTAATTGTAAATTAAATTGAACTTTAATTCACTATTTTTTTCCTTTGATTAATTTTTAATATTATCAATTCAAAAATTATAAGATATATTGAAATATAATGACAATTGCTTTATATTATATGTTATACTGCTTTTAACGCTTTTAAAGTCACATATCCTTCTATATCCTTCCAAATCTATTGCTAATCTTTATATTCAATATTCTTTTTGCTCTTCGTGTCTTACAATGCTATTAAAAGAAAAAAGGAATACCGAAATGAAAAGATTTAGAGATTTTAATTTTGGATTATAATTAATTAATTTTTTTTATCCTTTCTTACATAAATTTTATTAAATTTAACAAACCATAGATTTTTTTCGTCTTCCTAGATTATTTTACGCTACGTTATAATTTTTGTTCTATCATAGATAGAAATAAACACGATCTTACGAAACGATCTTATATCTCAAACATTTCTTCACTTCACAATTCGAAAACAGCGTCATCTGCAATTCCACGATTTATCGCTTGAAACAAACCACGCGTTGTTCTCATTCCCATACACGAATCTTCTAATTGCTGTACCAGGTGCAATGTCTGTGCCCGAGGACACAATCTTAATGAAAATTTACCTCGTGCTCTCGAACTTTTGTAACATTTTTTCCATTAAGGAGAGGTTTCAAGTTTTGTTTGGATTTAATACTCGTTTACATTGCTATTTCATTATTCTAAACAATTAGATTTTTAATGTTTATAATGTTTATAAAATGGCAAATTATTTTTTGATTTTCATTAAATAATATACGAATTAATATTTTAATATGACAGTAAAATTTATAAGGATTTTCCATATTATCCTCCTAATTTGTTTAGAAATCAAGAGATGAATTCAAGCGTTAAAAATTACTTTCCAATTCGTAGAAAGTGTATTTTAAATCTGTATTTTTTAAATTAATGAGAAAAGGTATTTACCTCTTAATAATTCAATATTAGTAATGATACAAATCCATCCTTGATGCGTCAATAAACTTGGGATATTTCGGTCTACAGTTTCATCTAATTGATTTCGGAACATCTTGATGCTTGAGAATATAATTGAGATGTTTAAAGGAAGAGATCATAATTACTAATTCATCTTATGTTAGGTCAACGTTCAAAGTTAAACTTCGCCATAAAAATATATTAATATATTCATTAAAAATTATTCAGAATATATTGTCTAAAATTTTCAATTTAATTTTCAAATGGTTCACGTAAAATACATTTATCTATTATTAAGTAGATTATTTTATTTGAAAAAACACATAAATATAAATATTTCTACGAGTAAAATTCTAGAAGCACATGAAACACTTTGAAACATAATTTTATTATTATATTTCTTAAAATATTCAGGAAATAATTCTTCAAATCTTCATTTCTTAGCGTTAATTGAAAAAAATATGGAAAATCCGTGATATATACATCGCCTAGCATTGATTAATAGCGAAGTTTTACTTGTAATTGGCTTCATTAATGAAATTAAAACGAAATATATGAATAATTTCAATTTTCAATTTTCAATGATTAATGTCGAAATAAATATGATAGCATCGTGGGGATGATTTCTAATACTTTTATTTTAAAATTGTATTTTCATCGTTGAACAGTTTGTTAGTTTGCCACTTTTATTCCAAGTATGAATAGGTTAATGTAATGTTTTGTTTGAAAAAAAAAAACCGAAAGAGAAAGTGGAAAACGATGGACGAGTTTAATTGACCGTGGAATCGATCGATCAATTATCGATGGAAAATTGAAATATCGAGGAAAATAGTTGGTGTGTCAATTATTTTGTAATGGGTATTTGTAATTGAGAAAAAAGGAAAGCGTTGTTTGTTCACGAAATGAATTGACCGTTGATGTCGTTAATCGAGGAAAAAAGTGAGAAAATAAATGGATGAAAATCTTTGAATTTGTTCAATTTGAAACGCATAGGTGCTGATTTTTTAATTTCGTTAAATCGACGAAGAAATGAATTATTGATTACGAATATAATCAAAATAAATTGAAAGTTCAATTAATAATATATAAGTGTGATTAATAAATAATATTGATAAATGAGAATTTAGAAAATGATCAACAATAATTAATTGAATCGCATAATTAATTTAATATTTATTCTGTATATTAGAGATCGATAATTGAGAGAAATTTATTTTAAATCGATAAAAATTAACCGCGAATAAAATTAAGAATTCAATATACAGATGTTTCAAGAAATAAGAGAATTTAACGATATCGAACAATTCTTAAAACCGTGAAAAATATTTTATCATTAATTAAAAACCTAATATTAGATTCAGAATCGATATCTGTTCATGTCTGTTCAATGTGAGTGTAATATTGTAAATCTTATTGTGAATAGCCGCAATAAATATAAATTTGCATTTAAAGAATTATTCCTGCGAGTTTGCATGTCAAAGCATGACAACAATACTTTTTGCGATTAAAATTGTCAGCAGACGGATGATTAATGGAAATAAAAGGCTCGTTGAAGATATAGATTTCTTGTTTCGTTTCCACTTTCTCTACAATCCTGTGGAAGGAAATACATTTTAATTTCCCAGAAGATTTGATGTTGTGCGATAACGTTATTTTCTACTGTTTGACGGTAGAAAAATATGATTTTAGAAGGAATTCTCGTTTGATTAGAAATAATAATTCTCCACAGGATTTTTCAAAAATATATTTTTCTTTGAATAATCTCATTTGATTTTTTACCCGTAAGGATAATATTTAATAACAAATCTTAAATATCTCGTGACACTTTTGCATCTATGGACATCATCGTAATAATTTTTTGAAAGCAATTTCAATGGTAGTTTAACGAACCGTGGTTTAACAATATTTTCTGTATGATGCAATCCTTCAGAAATTGGTGATCTTTCGATCAACCGTTGCTTATTTATATATTTGTCAAGGTATTGTTCCACCCAATTCTCTCGTAATCCCGTTCCATTCGAAATTTAATTTTCTCCGTGATAGAGAAGCACAGATGAATTCTGCGAAACGAACCGATGTGCACGTTTCAACGATACGATGATTTTAAATCATGTATGACGTTGTGCAATTCCCAACAATCGATATATGGAGCGATTTGTTTTTTACCGTTTAAAATATAAAAATATTGGTTTATTTTGAGAATGATACGGTATATATATTTATAATTATATTATTTTAATTAATCTTCTATTGTCCAAGTGTTGTATTAATAATTATAATAAACCATGTTATTTGTTTAAACAAATAAAAAATATCAATATCGAAGAGAATAAAGTAAAATATAAAATATCATAACTAGTTCCCTTTTATTAATTAAAATTCGAGAAAATTTGGTAATTCGAAAATTTGGTAAAAATATAAAAATAAAAAAAATATATAATTAATGAATTAATCGAGAAAATATATATCTTCTTCAATCATTTGAAAAAATGATTCTCAATAAGTTTATTTTCTTAAATTTTCCACGTCTTCGATCTTTAATAATAAAAAATATCTTTCAAATAAGGATAAAAGAGATATAAAAATTAGAGAAAAGATTTATAAATGCAACGATATATCGCATAAATAATAATAGTCGTATTTTATAATATTCATACATAGCTGAACTCGATTCAAATAATAGAGAATTAAAATTCCTATCGAATATCTTGGTTAATTTCAATCTTCTGTCTTTTCCAATTCCAGGCTTTTACCATGTTCGAAAAGCGGACGGAGGGACAAACTTCGCCTCAAACTATCATACATCGGATCAAAATTCATCCGTGTAACGTACCTTCTGGAACGTCTCCAACGAATCGTCTCGAGAATCTTGGTTAAGCTTCGAATCCGTACAAACCAACTTCTCTCTTCTCTCTCCGACCAATCCCATTTCGCTTTTCAACTCGCATTATCCCGCTAAAGTGTTTGACTGGAAACCATCAAACTGTGGAATGGAGCTTCTATCAACATCTAACCCGCATAAACCCTTCGATATCCCCCGTTAACAAACTAAACCAAACTTCATTTCCGTTCTTCAATGGCCTGCCAGGATCTCTCTCGCAGCCTCCTCGTCGAGGTCGTCGAAGAAGCGGAAGGGAGAACGGAGCAGTGGTTCCGTTCTCGGTAACGTCGAAATCTCGTTTAAAAAAAAAAAAAAAAAAGAAGAAAATCGTGCGAAAAGAGAGGAGATCGAAAAATGGAATTAATCGAACGATTACAGCGGTCAATGCATCGATAAAACAGAGAAAGAGAGAGAGAGAGAGAGGGGGAGAGAGGGAGAGAGAAGATGGAAGCGAACGAAACGATGGAAGATGGATCGGTGGTGAATACGACCGATTTACCCGATCTTTCGAACGTTTTCGTCGATACCGGTCAATCGAATCATTCCTCCAACTTATACGAGGAGAATAACGAATTGGAGCACGTTATTCTTTTAACGGTGAAAGCCACCGTGATGGGTTTCATCATTCTCTGCGCCCTGTTCGGCAATTTATTGGTGATCGTGTCCGTGATGAGGCACAGGAAGCTTCGCGTAATTACCAATTACTTCGTAGTCTCGTTAGCGTTGGCGGATATGTTGGTCGCCATTTTCGCTATGACGTTCAACGCGTCGGTCGAACTCTCTGGAAGATGGTTGTTCGGCTACTTTATGTGCGACGTGTGGAACTCGTTGGACGTGTTTTTCAGCACCGTTTCCATACTTCATCTGTGCTGCATCAGCGTGGATCGTTATTACGCGATCGTACAACCGTTGGACTATCCGTTGATCATGACGAATCTTCGACTGAGCACCATGCTGAGCGTGGTTTGGTGCTCGCCAACGGTTATGAGCTTCCTGCCGATATTCGCCGGATGGTACACTACCGAGGAACACCTCGAGTACAGAAGAAATTATCCGGACGTGTGCGTGTTCCAAGTGAACAAACCTTATGCCGTGATCAGCTCCAGTGTCAGTTTCTGGCTGCCCGGGATCATCATGATCGCGATGTATTACAAGATTTATAAGGAGGCTGACCGTCAAGAGCGGATGCTGTATCGGTGAGTTGATTTTCAATATAGTCGATCGTTGATCGATAATCGAGACTGTCGAGATTTATAAATCGTAAGAGGGACCGACAGATTTTCGTGGTTACGTTTTATTTAATTTTATTTAATTTTATGCTCGCTTTTCATCTTGAACGATATCACGTGTAAAATGTAATTATTTACAATAAGATTCTTTTGAATCTTCTAATTTTATTAACAACAAATGAATATCAATGTATTTATGATTGTTTCTAGACAAATTTTCTTATTTTTATTCTCATTCTTTCCAGATAAAATAAATATTTTTGTAATAAATGTTACTTCCGAATAATTCGACATATCGACTTTTCCACTCGTTGGATCTTCATGGATTCGATCGATATTCATACGCGCGTTTCATCTTTTTCGATTCTCCCATATTTACTCTCGAGTGACTAGATTTAACGATAAATCTATTTGTGGATTATATTAAAATAGGTCATCCTATGCGCAAACGCTTAGACTATGCACGATATATCAATTTCGAAAAATTGACAAAAGCTTCCGGCATATGAAACTTGTTTCACCGTTGCAACGTATTTCATAGATACAACTTTAGCATCTTCTCTGGAATATTTTCTTTTTTTTTTTTTTTTTTTT